CTCCCCCTGCTTGTGTTCCCTCTCTCGCTGTGTCTCTCTCTGTCAAATAAATAAAAAAAAAAAATCTTAAAAAAAAAAAAAGATTACAGAGAAGAGAAAATAGGGGATGGGGAGGAAAAACACCCAATGTAAAGTCATGGAGACAGGAATACACCAGATAGGTGTGTTTGATTCCTACAAAGAAGTAAAGGGCAAACTTTAAGAGACTCTACATAAGCTATGTTTTCTGTGTGTATGTGTATGTGTGTGTGTGTGTGTGTGCGTGTGTGTGATACACACACGAGAGCTAATGGTGTAAGTTCTAATCCAAAACCTGGCAGGCTCAAGACCCAAGAAGAGCCTATGTTTCAGTCTGAGTCTGAAAGCCAGGAGAACACCAATATCCCAGTTCAGTTAGGCAGACGGGTTTACCTCTTCTCAGCCTTTTTGTTCTATAGAGCTCTTCAGTTGATTGGGTGAGGCCCACCCACATTAGGGAGGACAATCTGCCTAACTCTGTCTATTGACTCAAATGTTAATCTCATTCAGAAACACACTCATAGATACACCCATAATTTCCGGGCCAAATGTCAGAGCACCTGCTGGCCCAGTAAAATTAACATATAAAATGAACCATCACAGACTCATGTCATTGGAGTATTATCAGTAGAATCTCTGTTGCAGAGGGTTAAGGATAACAGAGAGAATGATGCAAAATGGCATGGATAATGAGAAGAATACTATAAAGCTTATTATTTCTTAAGTTCGCACAATGAGCTTATCACTTGGTTTAATTTTTTAGAAAAGAATGTTAGTTTGTGGCCCCTCTTCCAGATATTCAATATGGAATAACTTTTTTTCCCCTCTTGCCTCTTTGTTTTGTACTCTAAAACAGTATAACACGAAGTGTTTTTCCCAGATCATTCTACGTGGCCTAAATTGATATACTAAGAAACCTGGAACTTTAAAAGTAAAAGTATCATAAACTTCATTTAAAAAAAAAAGATTTTATGTATTTATTGAGAGAGAGAGAGAGAGAAAGCATGAGCGGGGAGAGAGTCAGAGGGAGAAGCAGATTCCCTGCTGAGCCGGGAGCCCGATGCGGGACTCGATCCTGGGTCTCCGGGATCATGACCTGAGCCGAAGGCAGTCGCTTAACCAACTGAGCCACCCAGGCCCCCCTACATTTACCAGAATTGTATGTAAATATGCACTTGGAAGCTTCCAGATATACTTTCCTTCAAGCTGGAAAAAAAGAGAGAGAGAGAGAGAAATCAATTTTTGGTGACAACAATCATTGACACCAATTTCAATGCAAATATCCAAAGTCTTATGATACCAACAACTTGTATTTATAAAACACTGGCACTCATGTATGAAGATGGGCATTGTGGACAGATCTGGAAGGATTCTCTACATTCAGAGATTCTTTAAAGCGGGGGTATTACACACACAGGGTATGTTTATTACACACACAGCAGATCCTGAAGTGGACTGAAGGAGGTGCCTGATGACGCAGTGAGATATATGTGATTAGCCCCAATTTCTAGCATGTCAGGGAAAACCCATGCTGAAGTTAATGAACCACATTAATGGCCTCTGCTCTTCCTCTAACCTTTCTCGGTACGTTCCTACTGTGAAGACTGGGAGGCACGCATTGACAGCCATGGCAGGATCTTCTACGTGGATCACGTCAACAGAACCACCACATGGCAGCGGCCAACAGCGCCCCCGGCCCCCCAGGTGCTGCAGAGGTCCAACTCCATACAGCAAATGGAGCAGCTGAACCGGAGGTGAGGACGGGCATTTTCACTATGACTGTAGTGTGGTTGGGCTTATTTTCATGTGGGCCACAGTAGAAAACATGGATGTCTCTCTTTCATCTTTGGGTGACCTGTCATTAACATGTAGCTGGTACCTCTTGATTTATAGACTTCGGTGAACTTCTCTTGGTTAAAAAAATAATAACCACAGGCACACACTGCTTGTTTGGAAACTAGAGAGGAAATAAGTAATGATGACCCCTTTCGCCAACCCAAGGCATTGATTTTTAGTAAAACAGAGCATATACATATATGATATGAATCAAATACCTTTCTAAATATCTAGAATCTCCATTCATCATGCATCTTTATTATCAACTTAAGCTTTTTAAATGTCATTCTTTTTTGAAAATGAATGGCTATGAAATAAAAAGTTCTTTTCTTTAACAATATAAGAATTTAATTTTCTTTGGTTAAGGGCTGCAGTTTTTTTTTTAAGTTTTATTACTTTGTTAGGAAAATGTTCCACAAACAACAGACAGAAGAAATTCAATGCATTGTAATTTATTTAAACAACAGATGGCCCAGAATGTCAGGGAATTGGGTGGGGGGTTGGGGGAAGAAACTTTGGTTGAGGCTGAGAAGATGGTGAAAATTTCTGGGCTCTGGGGGAATGGTTGAGTCCCTCATTTTGGAGGCTGCTGTGTTGTAATGCTAGGCTCCTGATTTTAGATACCAGAGTATCCGCAGAACCATGACTAACGAGAGGCCTGAGGAAAATACCAACGCTATCGATGGGGCAGGGGAGGAAGCTGACTTTCACCAAGCCAGTGCAGGTAAGAGTCTATAGGTTGGTTTGGTTTGTAATCTCAGAAAAGTAGAAAACAAATAATAAGGATTTCCAAGAAATGAGGTTTTTCTTTTAGTGAACTTTTGATCTTCAATAAGATCTGGTAATCCAATGCAAATAGTAGAATTCACCAGAGACCTCTTCTAATCCTCGACTTTTTACTAGTAGTAAGAGAAGAATCAGAAAACAAAATAGAATATAAATAACTTTTTAATCTCTGGATGTGTGGGATAGAGGAAAATGATTGAATCTGATCACTTAAAACATCTAAGGATGCATTAAAATGTTAATAGTGGCTAGAGATACTCAATTCCATTTTAGTCAGGTTTTATCTATGAATTTACATCAAAGCAAAGAGGGTTTGGAGGATTAAAATAATAGTAAATGATATAAGTATTCTTTGGTTCTTTTAAAACATAGATGGAAGTGAATAAATATGTTTCCACTAAATCTAGATGGTCTGCCCCATCTAGATTTCCGACGGGAGAACGTCCTGCCCCACTCTACCTCTAGATCCAGGCTCACGTTGCTGTTACAGTCTCCCCCTGTGAAGTTCCTCATCAGCCCAGAGTTCTTCACCGTGCTGCATTCTAACCCTGTGAGTATCAAATCTGAGAGTTTGTGATGGAAAAAGCAATAGGCCAAAGAAATTATCCTCGTTTACATAGTAATTGTAAGAATGACAAGAGCTGTTTACTGGGCACTAAGTGTGTCCCAAGGTCTGTGTTAAGCACTATATATGTTTTAACCCCTTTGGTCCCAATACACCTATGAGTCAGATAAAATTTCCATTTTTCCAGACAAAGAAACTGAAGCATAGAAAAGTTAAATAACGTTCCTAAGAAACAGTCTTCCAGTGATGGAATGACCAAATCATGGGAATAAGAGCTGTGGCGTAGGAAATATAGCCAGTGGTATTGTAATAACATTGTATGGTGACAGACGGTATCTATGCTTGTGGTGAGCACAGCATAAAGTAGAGAGTTGTCAAATCCCTATGTGGTACACCTGAAACTAATGTAATGTGGCATGTCAACCCTATATATAAAAAAAAAAAACGCAAAACAAACAAACAAAAAAAACCATTCCTAAAGTTATACCCCTACTAAGTGGCATCATTGGGGTTAAAATCCCAGAGATACTAACCGTAGAGACTAAGCTCTTAATGACCACTTTATTTCGCCTGCAAAAAGGTAACTAAATATCTGAGCGCCGACAGCAGGCAGTGGTCAGATCAGTCTTTGAGATTGTGGCACATGCCTTCTGAAAGAGAAAATATAAACTGTATACATTGCTGGAATCTGAAAAATAAATCAATAAATAGAGGCATATTTTAAAGGTCTATGAAGTAGAGCTGTCTGGGTAATTACTGCAGAAGTACTGGAGCAGGATTGCTAGGACAGCCCTTTGGCCTGGCTGGTGGGTCAAGGGCACAGGACACCCTGAAAGTCAAGTTTGAGCCTGGGAAGGTAGGGAGAAGCCAGGGTACATGAACCTAGACTCATATAGGGGACAATTTTAAGAGACGGTAAGGCTTTTATACAAGGAAGAGTGGGCTAACATTTACAGTTGTCACATTTACTGTTGTAAAACAGTACCATTCTGTGGTGGGAAGAACTTTAGGCTTGAAGTCAGATAGCTCAGGTTTTCCTTTGCTTATCTCTTTGTCCCTTTGTTCATGCATTCATTCAACCAGGATTTATTAAATGCCTGTGATTTGCCTGGTACAGTCTAGACTGGGGATAGAGTGGTCAACAAGACAGAGCAGATTAGAGTAACAAACTAGTGAACCAGAAAAGGTAATTCAAATGGTGCGGTATGGCATGAGGTACCATACACGGGGCGAGGGGGTACTCGAGGATGAGCTCCTGGAGGCACTGCTTTAGATTGGGTGGACATGAAGACCTCTTTGGGGGAGCCACATTTAAGCTGTTTGTAAAATGTCAAGAAGCCAGTAGGGTAAAGGTCTGGAAGCAGAACCTTCCTTGCCAAGGAAAAGCAAAGGCTCTAAGGCTTGAATGAGTCTGATGTGGTATATAATAAGGGCAGAGAGGTGAGCAGGACTTCAGAAAGTAGGGCTGGTATGATCTGGCAAAGAGTTTGGGCTTTATTCTAAATGGATTTATTCTAAAGGGATTTCCTGTAGGGGTGTAATGTCAGTGTTTACAAGTTCCTTCTAGCTGCTTTGCTGAGAACGGATTTTAGAGGGCAAGACTGGCATCAGGGAAACAAGTGAAAAGGTCCTGTGGTGAGACGTAGAAGGAACTGGGACTAGTGCCGTAGCAGTAGAGATAGTGCAAGTGGATGAATATGGGACGTGTTTTGGAGGAAGAGCAGACATTCTTGTTAATACTTCAGTAGGTGGGGGCAAGAGAAAAGAAAGGCTTCCAGAAAGAGCAGTTGATTGGATAGTAGTGTTCAAGGGTTTGCTGGTAAATGTTCAACAACAGCTCTGGGAAAATTGTGTGTGTGTGTGTGTATGTGTGTATCTTACAAATTTTACTGAGTGAAGGATGTATAGCACACAATTTACAAATAATAAAATATACACAGAATGCTTTTGTTGCTTTTTGCTGAAGTCTTGTATCAGTAGCCAACCTACAGTTGTTTACAGACAAGTGTAGTTCCAACATGAATGTTTTCATCTACTTTAACCATTAAGACAACAGTGAAGCAGGAGAGACACAAGTTGGAGCTTCACACTCCTGGGTTAGTGAGGTCAGTAGTACCTTCTTTTTGAGGCAGGTCATAGTTTCTGAATACTGGACTTAAATATCTTCGTGTGTGTGTGTGTGTGTGTGTGCATGTGTGCGCGTGGGTAAGCTCGCGTGCATGCAGTGTAACAGCACAGTGTGAAGTTTAATCTGTATTATTAGCATTTTATTTTCTCCATCAGTTTCTTAAGTCTAGACCTTACATCTAGAAAAAAGCAACAGACTTTTTTGTAAAGGCCCAGAAAGTAAGTATTTTCAGGTTCTGGGCCAAGGACAACATGTAAACAAATGGACGTGGCTGTATCTCAAAAAACTTTGCAGACACAGGCAGCTAGCCCACGGGTCCATAGCTTGCCCACACCTATCCTAGACAGCCCACGAAATAATATCAAGGCCTGGTTTGCATTTACTGGTTTCTGTAATGTTAATACTCCCAGCTATAGCTAGTTTTAAGCTGCCAGTATGACCTCACCAACCAGCTTGCCAGTGCAGGCTGCCTTCTTGGGTACAACTTCCTCATCACTACAGTGTTTCAAGTAGACGCTGGATTCACAGTTGTTGGGTTGTGGTAAAAGGCTGTAGCTTTTAAACTTGGTCAAGGTCTATAAATAAATGCATATTCTTGATTCCCAGATCTTAGAGACCCTGGTCCATTAGGTCTAGAGCAGGCCCCAAGCATCTGTTTGTTTGTTTGGTTGGTTCCTTAAGTGATTCTGATGCAATTGGCCTATGACCTGTAACTTTGGAATTCCTAGAATAAAGAGATGTTGCGTTAAATGACCTCACTGCTTTTGTCACAACAGTAATGCATCTGGACTTTGGACAAATAACAGATTTTAACAGTGTGAAAATACTCAGCAGCTTAAAGGTTTTTTGTTTCTTTTGTCTTCATGTTTTCATTGTTTTTCCCTTTTCTTGGGCATGATTTCAAAACATCTTTTGCTGGGAAGCCAATCTTGATTTTAAAGTATTCTCTCTAAAGCATTTTAATTTTTTTTTTCCTACCTGAACTGTCTTCATTACCGGCCACAAAGATGATCCATGCTGTGCATCTATGCGTTTGTGTAAATTTAAATTCTGTTTGGTTTAGGAAGTCTTATTTCCCTGACTTATCTATGGCAGAAATTAAAGTAGCTGGATTTATCTTGCTAATGATCTCAGGGTATGAATTTATGGGAATAAGTTGCACAGTTTTGTTTTTTTTTTTTGCAGAGGGTATTACTTGATGGACTCTTTTTTTTCCCTAAATTATGTAACAAATGTTATGAAGCAAACTTTTATTTGGTTTCCTAATCTTAGGATTTATTATCTAGTCTTTTTTTTGCTTGAATTGTTTATTATCCATAACTGTTTCAGTAGACTCCCTGTTTATATTATTGAAAATATACAAAAGGAGTATATTAATTTAAAAGCTTTCCTAATTCTATCTTTTTATGGTTTGAAGATAATCAGTTTATGTTAAAAGAATCATAAAAAATAGATCTCATGTAATAGTAACTTAATCATTTTTATTGAAAATAATGAAATTAAGTAGATACATGGTTGTAATAGCTCTAAAGGAAAACTTGAAAGACAAAATATTGTTTTTTGTATTTTTTTTTTTCATTTTTTTGCATCGTGTTTGCTTTAAGATGTATACTACTGCCCTCTGCTGGTATGATCAGATTTCTTCCAAAATTGCATTCATAAACGAATTCTGAAAACTCAAGATTTAATTATTAGTGTCATGTCTTTTATAGTTGGTATGACTGTGTTTGTCTAATTAATGTAATACATAAATATGTCTCCTAATATGTAACTGAATAATGTTTCCAGCATACATGCCAAAAATTATTATTCTGGCTTTTATTAAGCTGTAGAAATACATTAATTCTACCATTAAACTCCTTGGTACTTAATGGGGAAAATATTATTCAAAAATACAAAAATATATTCTTACAACTATTGCAAAATAGATGAATTGATAGTTTACAATTAGTTTTGCTAATAAGTTAAATTTTCCCTCCATTTTACTCTTTAGCTAGATGAAAATAATGTAAAATCCCTTATGATTAAAAATACAGACTGTGTAAGACAGGCTATTTTCATATCCCTGCATACATCTTATGGAAGCAATGTTACTTGATTTTGTTCATAATAAATTTTGTTTTGTGAATAAGGTATATGAATGACCAGATCTGATCCCTTGTGAACGTGAGAGACATTCACTGTAGATGAGTGATTATAGTTTCCAAGTGTGGATTCAGAATACCTATTCTTTTTATTTTGTTTTGTTTTTAAAGATTTATTTATTATTTGAAAGAGGGAGAGAGAGAGCACACATGTGTGAGCAGGGGGGAGGGGGAGAGGGAGACAAGCAGACTCCCTGCTGAGCGGGGGTGGGGAGAACTCCATCCCATGCCCCTGAGATCAAGACCTGCGCCAAAACCAAGAGTCAGATGCTTAACTGACTGAGCCACCCAGGCACCCCTCAGTATACCTATTCCTGATGAAGGATTTATGAAATATGAAAGATTTTATTTAGCTTTGATGTACTTACCTATGTTATTGAAAAGAACAAATTAGATGAAATCAAGACTGGGCCAGGTAATCCCGAACATATGGTCACTATAACAAGAAGGAAAGAAAGAAAGGAAGGAAGGAAGGAAGGAAGAGAGAGAGAGAAAGAA